GTGGGGGGTGGGGGCACGTGTGTTGTTGTGGGGGAAATGGGGGGTCCACCGCTGTCCATTAGCGGGTTCGGGGGAGAGCTGTGGGCGGTGGGGTCGGGGGCTTGAATGGATTATTGCAACCTGCGTCCTGATGGTGGCGTGTCGGGGTAGGGTAGTAGATACATGAACATATCACCTTCATGGGTGTGCTGTATGCCTGGGCGGGCCTAACTGTCTGTCTGTCTGTTTGTCTGTCCGTCTGTCTGTCTGTCGCAGGGTGAGGATGACGACGAGGACGAGAGTGACGTTCGAGACCTGGGGGGCCGACCTCTCAGTAAGCAGGACATTGAGGAGGTGAAGGAGGTGAGCGGGGGAAGGGGGGCACCCTAGGGTGGTGGGGGAGAGGAGAGAAGGTGAGGGTTTCTCCGTACGTCTATATGTCTGTATCTCCTTATGCGGAATTACAACTCCATCCTCCTCCCCCTCCCCCTCCAAACTCCCCTCCCCCCTCCAACTTCCCTTCTCCCCTTCTCCCCTTCTCCCCCCTTTCTCCCCCCCTCCCCCGCCCACTCCCCCTCCCCCTGCTCCCCTCGCTACCAGGTTCTGAACAGCCCCCTGTGCCAGAAGATATTGGAACAGGTGGGTGAGGTGGGGTGGCTGGCGGTTTGAGGGAGGGGGGTATTTATGTAGGCTTGGGACCCGAACATTACACGTCCTCATTTCCCTGCTTACAATTCCCTTGACAAGCACATACATACATACATACATACACAAGATAGGCATTCAACCCCCAAACGCCCAGGAACAGCCCCAACCTATCTATGGGTCCATGAGCGACCCCATCCTCCCCCCCCCTCAACGCCCCTTCCTCGCACCCACATCTCATTTGTCATCCGCAGGTGGATCGCAACACTAAGGCGGATTGCAGCTGCATCAGCTTCACTGCGCAATGGAATACACTGGCACACGGGTGAGTGCGTATGTATGTATGTTGTTACAGGGTGGTGTAGCTTCACCAGCGGCCCCCTTTCCCGAGGCAGTTCCCTGCTCTCCCCTGCTAGAGGGGCACCCTAATCCATTCACCCCATCCGACTTCAGAATGTATTCGTTGGGTTCAGCAACTCACCACCAGCATCCATCCAAATCTAGCGGATCAACGGCGCCTCAACTTAGTTCCTGGTCAGCTCGCAAATTGATATAATCACTTCCTACACCGTCCACAAGATGGGGGGCCACCTCCCATTTCAACACCCCTTACACACCGAGAAGTCGGCAGGCGGACTTGAACCCGGAACCTCCGGGAGCAGAAGTCAGGCCTTAACTTCTGCCAGCCACCTGCCTGTATGTATGTTTGTGTGTATGTATGTGATAAGCGCTGTATTAATTTGCATTGGTGCTTACATAGCCGAGTGGCAGTAGTAGTGGTGATTGTAGGTGGACAGTGTTATGGTGTGTGGGGGTTACCCCTCTCACTGCGGCGGTGTCCTCTGCTCCCCCTGCCCCCTCCTCTTTGTTCACCACTCCGGCTGCTGTGGTGGTTGGCCTGGCGGTGGTGCGGCTGGCGGTGGCGGTGATCTACCTGTCCTCTAACCCCCTGATTCCCCCCTCCCCCCCCCC